CCACAGCTAAGCAATGAGCCATACTCCTGGAATCCAGTTGTGGAGAGGGAGGAAGGATGAGCAAAGGAGCCAAGATGGGGCTGCAGAAACCCACAGAAACAGTTTGAGACCCTAGTTATAAAGCTAATGAACAACATTGTACGAACCAATACCTCTGAATGTGGGTGCCAGGTAGGAGGCCAAGACAGTGTATGGGACCTCTAACAGTGAAGCCATTCTTTATCCCTAGAGCACAAATTGACTTTGGGAGCCAATTCCCTATGGAGGGATTCTATTGCAGCCCAGATACAGCAAGGAGGGCCTAGGTCCTCCCCCAAATGATATGACATTATTTGAAGGTGCCTGGTGGAGTGCCTCATTATCCCTGGGGAGAAGTTGAGTGGGTTGGGGTAAGAGTTGGTGGGGAACATAGGAGGATGGGAGGGCCAGTGGATGGGGGGATAGATATATAAATATGAGTAGTAATTAAAGAACTAATAAAATCAACCAATAAAGCAGTCACTATTGTTTTTAGCATTTTCAAGTTTATTGAAAAGACAAGCTAAAGCAGCCCAGATGCCTCGCAACAGAAGAATGGATAGAGAAATTGTGGTACATTTACACAATGGAGTACTACTCAGCAGAAAAAAAACAATGGAATCTTGAAATTTGAAGGAAAATGGAATGCACTCAAGAAACCATTCTGAGAGAGGTAACCCAATCACAAAAAGACAAACATGATATGTACTCACTCATATGTGGACCTGCTTTATGATACAGAGTAGTGACCATGCTTTATCAGAGCTGTTTATAATGATGTTGCTCAGAATGGTTTCCTCCCATATGATGACTGAGAAACTAATTAAAAAAAATGGTGCCAGGTACCACAAGAGTAACAGAACTGTGCTGTTTTCTGGGATTTTGTTTTTCACTTTGTTGTTGTTGTTTGTTTTTTTTTTTTTTGGTTTTTTTGTTTTTTTTTTTAAATGAAGTGTGCTGGATGTCTCTACAATTTTTTTCAAA